GGGAATATTGAATATGTTACCACAAATATAATTTGCTAAATTGTTAGGAAATATTGATAACTATACACCACACACACTAAAAATCCTAATTTGACACTGTTGAGGAAGGGAGATTTCACTCTGAAGGCAGTGAGGAAGACATGGAAGAATTTTTTTTGAGGAAAATATTCTTTGAGTTTGTCATAATGTAGAGCAGTACTCTCTAATAAAATCTTCTATGGTAATGGAAATGTTCTATATCTGCACTGTCCAATGAGGAGGCCACTAACTACGTGTGGCTGTTGAACACTTCAAATATGGCCAGTGTACTGAGGAACTGAATTTTTATTTAATTCATTTTAATTCAATTACTTTAAACTTAATGTGGCTGTGGCTACCATATTGGACAATGCAGCTCTAGAGATTTTATGTCTGAGTGATTAGGATAACATGCCACCAGTACAGTGAACACTTTAAAAGGTAGATATTTACAGAATCTCTCATAGACATTTTTTCTTCTTTTCTTTTTTCCTATTTGAACTTGTTTTGTTAGTTGGTAAGTATAACATTTGAATTTACAAAGCATTGTCATTGTGAACCATCACCCTAACTCATTGCATGCCCAATTATATTTCATGATAAAACCTTTATTCCTCTCTCTATCTCTGCTCCTCAGTTAACACCTATAAAATTCTGCACTGTCTCTCATATCTGTTATCTGTCTTCTCTTTTGCTTTCTCTCTTCTGCTTGCTACTCCATTTCTTCATTCACAACAAAGAAAGAAATGCAGTGATAGTCCTCTTCCTCCCAAAACCTCCGCTAGAAAACATTGGCCATCTCAAGGTAAACAGCAATGGGAGGGCCTCTCATGATGGCCGGGAATTATATGCATATCAGAAAAGCATGAGCAACTGCTTTTCACTTTCCTTCTCCCATCCATCTGCAGTGCTTCCCTAAAGGGGCCATGGATTCATATTCTCTTGTAAATTTTCCAGTATGGGTCTGCTATGAACCAATTCAGATCTTCGGGAAGAGTTTTAAGTGTTCTAAAAAAACATAAAAAGACTCATTCTTTTTCTTTTTTTTTTTTTTTTTGCTTTTGAGATGGAGTTTCACTCTAGTTGCCGAGGCTGGAGTGCAATGGCACAATCTTGGCTCACCACAACCTCCGCCTCCTGGATTCAAGCAATTCTTCTGCCTCAGCCTCCCGAGTAGCTGGGACTACAGGCATGCACCACCACGCCCGGCTAATTTTGTGTTTTTTAGTAGAGACAGGGTTTCTCCATGTTGGTCAGGTTGGTCTGGAACTCCTGACCTCAGATGATCCGCCCGCCTCAGCATCCCAAAGTGCTGGGATTACAGGTGTGAGCCACCGCCCAGCCAAAGACACATTCTTAATTGCTTAAGACATCTCTAAAGACCTTCACCCCTTACTGAACTTTTTGTTTTTCTAATGAACATTCAGTAACTTCAGTTTAAGCACAAACATTTCATATATATGAAAGTGCTAGCATAATTATTTCCTAGTTTGAAGTGTCAAGGAGGTGCTACATTGGCTAACAAATATGCCAAGTCTCCCTGTAAAGTAAGGAGATGTATATATTCAGTTAAACTTGCAACCTCTGTAGTATTTTTGTTTGTAAAACACATAAAGAAAATTTTCATGTACTTAAGACCCAGGAAATCTGGATTAAAATGCCTTAAAATATCCAGAATTTTTTGTTGGTGTTATTCTATTTTCAGATTTTTTTCCTGAGGGACTTTTATTTTTAATGTGATTTTAATTAATGACTCATTTTGCTTAGAAAATATTTGAGAGCCTACAGTGTACAAGGTTCTATAGTATTCCTGCATATTAGAGAATGATTCATAGAAATAAAGTACAGAAGTAAAATACTACTTTATAAATGATGCAAAGAACTTTCCCATTTGATTTTGTTTTACTTTAAAAATTGTGTATCTACTAATTCTGCTGGTTACCTGCTTGCTTATTATTGAATAGTATACCTGCAAAAGTTTAAGTTAATGAAAACCATTGTTTATCTCTTTTAAATTAAGACATTTTAGGGGAGTCAGTTTGCCTTTTTTTAACTTTCAGATGAGAATCATCCTTTCCTCCCCTGGCCCACAAATTTATCTTGCTCCTCCCTAAAACCTTATTTAAATACCTAGCATGTATATATGATCTCATAATGCTGAGTTCCTTTTTTGTTTTGTTTTGTTTATAAGGACCTCTTGTGAAACTGAGTTCCTTTTTGAAACCCATGGTTCCAAAACTGTTTGGTTCTGTTTTTTAAGTTTAAGTAGTGAAGGCCCTTTTCTTGGTTGTACCCTGAATCCTAGAGATAGGAATTTGTCCTTTTCACCTGCTTCCTGAGCCCTTCCCTGCATGCTAATGGTGCTTTGGATTCTTGTTCTTTCTAGCCCAAGGATTTTGCTTCCCACTGCTTTTTCCAGGGTTCTACTCCTGGGAATGATGATTGGCGCTTTTTGCTAATAGAATGACATGAGTCACCAGATTGCTGGGTTTTAAATACATTAATAGGCTATTGTAACAAGCAAGTTTGGGGCTTGCTTTTTCCCTCAAAAGACCTTATTAAGGGATGGGATCCTTGCTGCAGATTAGTAGCAGAAGGATTATTTCTTAGGAGATGAGAGGCTGGATAACTGTAGTAATGCTCTTCCTGTTTCCTACAGGCTCCTACCCAGAGATTCTACCCAGTGAAACTCCCACAGCAACGCAGGTAGATGGGGCTGACCTGGCCTCTCCAATGTCTCCTCGAACTAGCAAAAGCCGCATGTCCATGAAGCTGCGTCGTTCCTCTGGCTCAGCCAATAAATCCTAAGGAGACAAGCAGCCCAACAGTGATCAGCTGTAGCCACCTTAGCACGAACATAGGGTTAACCCTTTCAGGCCTTCATGTCTGCCATAACATGCATGTTTCTTCCTGTATTTGAGAAAACACTGGATTTAAATAATTTTAAATAATTTGTAGCTTAATATTAAAAATTTGGGTTATTTATTATTTCATTTTTTCCCACAGTCCAAGCTGCCATATTTTGAGGGCGGGGGAGAGTTTTATTCTACACCCTTTACCTTCCTAATTATGTCTAAGTGGTTTTAATCTTTAATTTCACAGTTAACTTTGAGCCAAAATATAATTGGACAGGTAGTCTCATTATTTTATTTATTGTGCCCCATTGCAACTTTATGGTTCAATAAATATATAATTTTTTTACAAATGTAAAATTTTAAATTTAAGCATTTGTAAAGTTATAGCAGAAGATGCACCTGTTAATGCACAGAATGTGTACAGATTATTTATGTTAAAAAATAAAACACTCAAAATAAATGATCTTTAGCATCTCAGACTCCAACTGAAATCATTTTGGTATTAACCGTTTCTTCCCAAAGCAATATCTCATTTATTGGCTGTGTGGGTGATGCCATGTTATATACAATAACTAGAAAAATCACTGTGCTGAACTTTGATTTATGTTTAGCTTCCAAGTATTTTTCTAATGTTTTGCATTTTAAGTGGTATCACTGTTAAATGCCATTTGTTTTCAGATTGTGGCCTTTTATTATTGACTGCTAGATCCTGGTGTATCTGTGTTCATTTTTAAGCACCAAAAAGAAGATAGGGAAAAAAAGAAAGAAAATTTTCTGATATAAATATGTTGTTCAAATTATGTGTATTATTAAAAAAAGGAAAAGGAATATGACCCAGGAGTCTAACTTAAATCTAAAATTGTTAATATTGAACTTGCAGGTGCAGGTTGATATACATTCCACCCTCTAGAAGTATTTTCTTACAGTAGATAAGCTGCTCACATTTTGTTTTGAATGGGCATCTCCTGAGGAAATGTAGCATGACATTGGTACTAACTGCATGTGTAAATATATCATACTGGCAAACCATAAAATATAAATTATGTATCATCATTTATGTAGTATCTATAATTTGTAACAGTGGGGGAAAAAGATGACATGGTATTTAATAATACAATAAAAATATTCTTATCACTTCCTATGCATGAGTGTTGATTTGTCTTCTATATTTCATATATTTTGAATAAGCAGGGCTATATGATTAGTGGGAAGATATAAAGCATAAACCTAGATTCTTAGTTAATCATGAAAATGAACTTGAATTCCCTTTTCAAGATACATTCCAACGTATTTCTCAGAGATCCTACCACAGGCATTAAAAACACAGGAAATTTTACATCTTCATAAAGACTGGCCAGAAACTTCACCCAGTGCAGTTGGTTAGATCATTAGTTTAGTTCAGCTTCATTTTTTTTTTAATTCTTAAATTTTACTTTGTTTTACAATATACATTCAGCAATAAAACTTTGTACTGACAAGTTTTCTAAGACAGCCTTTCAGAACTTCTGTGCACTCAATTTTTTGCTTCTTATAAATGGAAAAACTAAAAGTCCTATGTAAGCTGATGTAAAAGATAAACAAATGGATAAAGAGTCCTTGAACAATATAGAAAATTTCCTACAGCAAACGTGAAGAATTACTAAAAGGAAAATCAGAATAACTGCATACATGTTTCTAAAGTGCTATCAATAAAAATCTAATGGATTGATGATATATAACAATATGGAGTAAAAATACAAACCTGAAATAGTGAAATTAGCACCATTAAAATATTTTTTTCATCTTCAGCTAACACTGTTCGCTAGCTCTAAATATATACATACATATATTTAAAATATATTTTCTGTTGACATTTCTTGGGGGGATGTCTTTTTTAGATTTAAAGGCTAGTACATATCCCTTGCCTTTTGATGCTCAGTCTTTGTAGCCATACTTCAAAGGAAAGTTTTTCATTGCATTCCTGCACCATTGCATTCATTTGCAAAAGACAATATTTCCGTCTGTATTCTATCCAAATGGGTCACTAACATTCTAAAACAGGATAATGACATTGGGGAGTTAAGAAATGTAGCTTTGAAAATAGGCTGTGTTCAACAGTATTCTTAAGACAAACACAGAACACAAAAGCACAGTCTATATACATTTATTTGGTGGTAAGCATCTTACAGATATGGGCTATCTGTCAAGCAGTGCTCAGCCAGTGTCCCAAACTCTGGCTAGTAGGGAATTAGTACAGAATGTACACTGAAATGGTTTACCAAAAAAAAAAAAAAAAAAAAAATCAAGTTGCTGCTGAAAAGAAAATACTGAATATTGAGCAAATTGCCATTCAGTGCCTTAGTGGATTATCGGTGTTAACATCTTCCTTAAGCTGTACATAGTTTCATAATGAATACACAGTATGAGATTTACAGCAGAAGCATTGAACAATTTGGGTGAAACCCCATTAAAACAGTCAAACTTGAGGAAACGACTTCTGTATTACCAAAAAGCCATTTAAGGAAAGGTTTGAAGTAGCTCTTCCTGAATACTGCACACAAAATAGCTGAAGGTGAGAATTTTAGGGGGTGTCTCAAGTAGCATCCTCCCCACCTCCAAACACCAACTTAAGAATGTACATATAATTGGGCAAAGGAAAGTTTACAGGGGAGAGCCCCACACAACCTAAAAGCAGCAAACCTCTTACATTTTCTGCCCACAGACACAGGTCTTGAATCTCCTTAAGTTTGGCACCAATCACATAACTTAATTCACAGAATATACAATGCAAAATATCTGACCCTATTGAGACAGAAGCTACATAGGCGCCTGTGATGGCAAGAGAAAAAAAAATGGTGACTACCAAAGAGTAGCCAGAACCCTTTGTGGACATTGAGACATGCATGCATTCACCGCGACTTTCCATAGGAATTACAAACCATATAGGATTCGTTAGGGTCTCAAGAGTTTTAAGGGGAAAAAAATCCTATTTTAGTAGGGAAAGTGAGAAGGATTTAAAGCTGACAGTCTTTGATCTCAAGGGTTTGTACTATATACATACCTGCTCTAGAGAGGGATTTTACATTTCACTGTCCGTTCTTCTGGTGGATCACTGACTATAGGGAGAATTTTAGGAGAAAAAACATAGGAAGAAATGAAAGTAAACTTGCAAGTTGAAGAAAGCCCCACAGAAATTCCCATCTGTTTCCTGCAAGGCCAACCTCGAAATCATCCTTGTCTCTTGGCCCTCAGCAGCCAGGCCGCAGTGGCATCTGCAGCAGCAGCACTTGCCGGCTTTCTGAGGGGTGGCACTTATTGATGTGCCGGGTCAGCCCCGGAGAGCTAAAAAAAGTGGATGGGCAGTGCTTGCACGAGAAAATTTGCTGGGCACTACTGTCAGATGGCTCGCCTGGGCCCGGCGTTTCGGGAGGAGCCCCCGCCAGAGCGGGCAGGAGCAGCTCCTCGCGGACAGCATGCCACAGCCGGTGCTTCTCCCTGATATCTGCGGACGGGAAGTGCGCCCCGCACAACGGGCAAGCGAAGGCGAGTGGGGCACCATGTTCGGAGCCAAAGCCCGGCGTTAGCGCACGGGCCGAGCCCGCCTCGTGAGTGCTCAGGTGTTTGCGCAGATAGGCTTGGCGACGGAACTTTTTGTGGCAATACGGGCATACAAAAATCTCAGAGCCCCCGCCACCACTGGTACTGCTCGGCAGAGGCACCCGGCGCCCCAACACCCCCTCCGTGTAGGGGCCCTGTGGTAGCGGTGGCTCTGGGTGTGCCAGCACCTGGAGGCCCTGCCTTGCGGCGCTGTCCTGGTGCTGATCCGCCCTGGAGCTGTCCCTGGCCTGCGGGTGCTGATCCGCAGTCCGCTCTATCCGGCTGTTTTCCTTTCCCTCCGCCAGAAAAGATGCAATGGCCCCGGAGTCCCGGGAGGACGAAGACGACGAAGAAGGCGGCTTCCCGTCGGCGGAGGAGGCTGTGGTGGCGTTTGCAGCTGCGGGACGGGGCTTGTGCCAGCGGCGATGGGAGGCCAGGTTCGCAGGGCAGCTGAACACCTTGTCGCACTCAGGGCAGCGGTACTCGACGCGCACAATGCGGGAGCAGCGGTGCTGGGCCAGCGAGAAGGGGTCTGCGTACTGCTCCTTGCACAGCTGGCAGATGAACTCTCCCAGCGGCGTGCGGCTGCCCCCCAACCCCGGAGGCGGCGCTCCGGGCTCCTCCTCCTTGATCTTCAGGCCCAGGACAGGGGATGTGGTCACCTCATCAGCAAAGCTCAACTTCCTCATGGCCTTTGGCTTCTTGATTCCCGCGGCCGCGGGTCCAGACGTGCAGCCCGTGGGTGCCTTGGCGCGGCGCTCGCCGCCCGCCGTCCGCTTCAGACCCTGCAGGGCGGCCGAGAGGGGCGCAGGGTCCGGCTGAAGCGCGGGCTCTGGGAACGGCGCCCGGAGAGGCAGCAGGAATTGCTCCCCCGAGGTCGGTGCGGCTGCTGGCGCCACGGAGCAGGAGAAAGCGGCAACGGCGGCGGCGCCCCCGGGGAAGGACTCGGCGGAGACGGGCGAGCTGAGGCAGCGCTCCAGGAACGCCCGACGCAGCTCTGCGCCCGCCGGCTTCGCGGGACTGGGACTGGGGCTGGGGTTGGGGCTGGGACTGGGCCCGGGACCTTCCCTGACACCCGCCCGCCACTCCGCACCTTCCCGCCCGCCCACCCCCGGGCTCACCCCAGCCGCTCGACATGGAGACCCCGACAGTTCCCGGGCCGCCTCCGCCGTCAGCCCCTTTCCTGGTTCCTCCTGGGTCGGGGGCGCCTCCGGCTCCGTACCGGGCAAGGAGGCGCTGGGAGCCTCCTCCAGGAAGGGCGGCGCCACCTGGGGCCCCAACAGAGGGAAGACACGCTCTGCAAGCCGAGCTCGGTATGAGCCGCCTGTCCGTTTAGTTCGCTTCACCAGGAAGCCCCTTGGCATGGTGGAGTCGAGAGCGCTAGGAGACAAGAGGAAAGGGGGCGCCACGGACGCTGAGAGCCGGCCAGCAGATGAACTAAAAGAGCTTCGCAGCGGCTCTCATGCCGGGGCTATCTTTATAGCTGAGACTCGGGCCCAGGCCCCGCCTGGCCACCCTGGGCTGGTCCGGCCAATCAGGAGTGGGAGCGGGCCCCGGGGGCGGGGCTTTCTCTCGTCCCGACTCACCCGAGTAGACGAATCTGGCGGCGGCGGCGCACGCCCAGCCCCTCCTCACAGCGGCGAGGACCTGCCCCTGCTGCCGGCTGGGTCCGCCTCCCCCTGCCGCCTCCCGGGCGAAGACGCCAGAAAGGTAAGGTTCAGAGTGTAGGGGAGCTAGACATTCCCGCCTCGGCCGCCTCCGCGGAGCGTCCCACTGGGGAGCCGGGCGGAAAGACTACCTCACGACGCCCTACGCGCGGGCCGGGAGCCGGCTTCCCGCCAGGCGAGGGCGTCTGACTGAAAACCTTCCGCCCTGCGCTGAACTGCGAGGGAAAGGGGCGGTGGGCAGAGGATGCGACAGAGACCACGGGGTGGGTGTCCGCAAGGGAGCCGGTGCACCTCCTCTGAGGGTATTGAGTTGATGAGAAGTGCGACCGAGCGGCCGGGCAGCTAACTCCAACGCTCTGTGGCTGCTCTCAGCGACGGGAGCACGTCCCTCCGCCGGTATCGATCGGGCCCGCGCGCGGCGGCGACACTCGAGAGTTCATCTCCTCAGAAGGGCTCTCAGCGCAGGAGAGCGTGCCTGCCCGCCGCCAGCCTCCAAGCTGGGACGCCCGCGCGCGGCTGATCCCCGGGCCTCTGCGCTCTTAAGTGCCCCTCCTCGATGGGAGCAGGAGTGGGGAGAGGAAAAGAGGATCTCATTTTCCACTGTCCTCACATAAAGTGGTTTCTCTGGTCACACTTCCCACTTGTACTACCCAGAGCATGACTTAATGCCTAACCGGCCTGTTTAGCATGGAGTAGACTGAGTGAGAAATGCCGGCGGAATCAGCATTACAGCTGCTTCCCGGTACACACAAGTCATACTTTGCAAAAGGTGTGCTGAAGAGCAAACTCAACCGATTTTCATCTGGCACCCTGCAATGAGCCCGCCACTATTTTAAGAACTAGACGAGGTTTGAAAGTGTTTGGTAACTGAACTAGGCAACAATTAGACTATCTATGACAGATGTAAAGAGCCAAAATCCATAATATAGATAAGTACAATGTAAGAACAGGAAGGGTAAAGAACTATGTGCTCAAGTCTTTCTACTAAACCAAATTGGAGAAAAAGACTGACAGAGGTGTTTTAAAAGTAGACTGCAGCATAACAGATGTAGTCATCAATAAAACACATTGTCTTTCTTCAGTGAAGGAAGTATTTTTACAAGGAGGACGTTATTTGGGGAAAGATTTGGAAGTAATTATATATTAATCATTGACTATATTTTAGGCATTCTGCCTAAGTAATCTGTAATCTTCATACACACATGCAACATGCACGCACACAAACTAGAAAGGAGATATTATTACTCTCTTTTTTCAATGTGGTAATTGAGCCATTTAGAAGTTAGATAATGGGTAAAAGCCATGCAGAGCTCTGATTCAAACTTGCTCTGGCTAATTCCAAAGCCCAGTGGCTTCAAACTATTTTTGTCCTTAATCACATCCCACAATAATAAATGTGTTCTATAATATATACACATGTAACTGAAACAGAAGTCTCACAGAATAATACTGTGGGTCCTAATCCATTTGTAAATTATGAAATCACACATTGAAATGATTGCAGTGCATTCTCATATTTTTTCATTCTATTGTATTTTGTTTTTTAAAAATACCAGTCATAGAAAATACATTGATTTTGTACTTTACAAATGGATTAGGAACCACAGTTTGAAAAACACTCATTATATTGTCTCTCATTAAATAGCACGAAATCATACAAAATTAAATAAACCTGATACTGTATAATCAAAATTAATATCTGAACTACTGCTTAAAATAGTTGAGTCCTTTAACAGTGTTGGTAAACTTAGTTTCCCAAATTGGTCATTTCTGATGTGTCAGCTTATGTATGACTTCTAATTCAAATTCTGAATTCTCCTTTCTGCCTGACGACCCATATATATTGTGTGGTGTGGAAAATCTGATGTAATAATTTTAATACTTTAAAATAATCCCTTTTCCAGAGAGAGAAAGGGTTCTTCCCCAGGGGCATAGTACTTTGTAAGAATTGCTGTCACATATTTTCTACCAGATCCAATAGTTCCAATAGCTCTCTCCTTCCCTTCCCAAGTATAATTTGTTAACAACCTTTCTGGAAATCATTGTAACAATTTGTATCAGAAGCTTTAAAAAAAATGTATACATTTAATTTACCAATTCCTCCTTTAGTGATCCAAAAGAAGAGTGAAGATTTATGCACAAAGCTGTTTATCACGGTGTTATTTGTAATTATAAATAACCAGAAGACACCTTGAGTAAACTATGATGTAGTGATGTTATGGGTGATTGTGTAGCTAAAAAAATGTAATGATAGGGACAAACATATATACCATAATTAAGCAAAAACAGCAGGTAACAAAATTGCCTATACAATAAAGAGCTCAGTTATGAAAAAACAAAATGCATAAGACAGTGGAAGGAAATATGCCAAAATGTTGGGATTGCCTCTAGTAAGTAGGAATTCAAATAGTCTCTCTCTCTTTTTTTACTTTTTTGTTGCAATATTTTGCAACAATCTTACGTTACTCAGATAATTAGAAAAAAATTGCAAAGCTGCCTTAAATCCTTTCTGGTGTTAAATGTGGTACCCTTCCCCTAGGATACCAGCACACTGCAACATCAAATGGAGAACTGCACAGATAAGTAGCATTCTCCAGGGGCCACCTGTTTGATATCTGGCCCTAGAAGAGAGGTAACAAGCCTCAATCAAGCCACAGGACTTCTAGTTGAAGAACATTTTTGCGAAAAGACTAAGGGTTAAAGGATAGAAAGGATTAAAATGTGAGGAAGAGAAACAATTTAAACGCATAATCCCCTCTTGGGTATAAACTTAGATGATCCTTCAAGATACAAAGACTCTGTAGTTTCTCACTTAAAAATTATGATAAATAGGGCAGTGCCAAAGCAAGATTATAAAATCTTTGTTTTATTTAATATCTACATCCTTTCTCTTCACAAAAACATTTTCTCATTTTAAACATTTGGCACTTCATCTGCTCTCAGTTATACTTTGATAAAAACTCATACACATTGGATTATCTCTCAAGCTGTTTACATTTTTTGCTACCATTAATTTTGGGATAAACTTAATTTAAATTCAGAAATTTTGAAACAATAGAAATTAGAGTATTTTTTGAAGAGAGAGGAGATTTCTTCTTGCCCTGAAATGTGTGTATAAGTCAGGCTGAGATGACTAACCTGCTTTTTTATCACTTGAATATCTGGAAGATTACTCAGAAGGAACTTTATTTCTTCTGTTTCTCTGCCTCCTCACCTCCACTTAGACATGTCCCTGTAAAAGATTAACACCAGCTGCAGCTACTAGAGGCCCATTCTCCCCAAGAACTTGAAAGTCAGTCTCTCACAAATCTAAAACCAAACTCTTATTTTCCTCTCCTAAACTTAATCCCCATCTCAGTTTTCTTCATCCCAGTAAATGGCACCTTCATTCAATTAGCTGCCTCAGCCAAAACCCAAAGATTTTTGGCTAAAGCTGAACACCCCATAGTCAATCCATTAGCAGTTCTTATTAGCTCTATCTTCAAAGCATTTCCTGAATCTGAATCTTCTCAAATTCTCTACCACTGTTATGCTATTTGGTCTCTTGCTTCCATCCTTGCCTCCTTATAGTGTGTACTTTATTCAGCAGCAAGATGTATCCTATTTGAATATAAATCTGACTCTCACTCTTTTGTTCAGAATCTTCAAGTGGCTTCCCAACACTTTTAGAATGAAATCCAAAGCTCTGCTTGGTCCCTGGATATTCTTAAACCACATCTCCCACTACTCTTTTCGTCATTCAGTCTGCTCCATCTACGTGGACTCCTTATTTTCTTCAAACATGACAAGCACACTTCCACCTCAAGGCTGTTAATTCTGCCAGAATGTTTTTTCTTCAAATATGCTGACATCTTGTTTCTCAACTTTCTTTGTGGATCTTATTCAAATACCACCTCAGAAGGATCTTCCCTGACCACCCAAACTAAAATAGCAGCCCTATCCCGCCATCACTCTTCATCTTTTTTTTTTTTTTTTTTTTTCTCTTCTGCTCAAAGGATACCTTAGTCATTTTCTGTCCCTTTATCCTACTTTATTTTTCTTCATAGCATTTATCACTATTTGCCACTATATTATGTATTTATTAATTGTCTGTTGTCTCTCAGCAAGCTATAAAGTCCAGGAAGGTAGGTTCTTTGTTTTGTTCTCAGCTTTGTTTTGATCCAATATGTAGATCAATGCCTGACATATGTAAATGAATTGATGTCTAAAATAATGAGCTACCAAATTTTTTTTTTAAAAGTATCACAGTTTCTGTTGCTGCAACCCACAGACCTGAAGCCCACCCTGCCTGGGTACAAAAGAGAGAAAAGTCATAAGGAGTTAGGTCCTAGGCATTTGGGAATCTTAATGCAGGCAAATGAATAGGAAAGTCTTTCTTCTATCATATGCCCTTGGAAATCTTTTCTTCCCACCTCAGCCACTTTACCCATGGCTTAGATCACTCCCATTTTCTTCCTCTGAAGCCATTTCCAATAGGATAAATAAACCCCAACTCATGACAGGAGTCTGCTATTTTAGGCTGTTTAGTACCTAGGATAATAGAAGAATGGGAGCAGAAAGAAGCTGGTCAGCTACTTATCAGGAAAGACAAGACTGGCAAGAGAAAACTACATGTTTAAGAAACAAGGAATTTTAGGCATATGATGAAGAGGATAGGATCTAGTTTATTGAGAAGTTCAATCTAGGACATTTAAAGAGAGATCATATAGGGTAGTTAGTTGAGGGCTCAGGCTTTAAAGTGAGACGGTTTTGAGTTCAGTAGAGTTCCTGCTCCACTACTCGCTGTTTAATCTTAAGAAATTTATTTAGCATTTTTAATCCTCACTTTCCTCATCACAAATGGAAAAAGAAATAATTATCTCACAGGGTACTTTGGGCATTACATATTATTGTGTATATAAAATACTTATCACAATGCATGGCACATAGTGAGTCTTAAATGAAAAGAAGGTATTATTAAGTGTCTAAGGTGAAGGAAGACTATTGACACTAATGGCAACTCTAAATTCTACAGAAATGACAGAATAATTTATTGTGTGACTGGCTTATTTTTATATCCAATTATGATGCAAGACAGTAGTGATTATGCATACCATTTAATATGCTCAAAATTAATTTTGTTTCATATGGTTAAAGCAAAATTCACAAAAGATGTAAAAGACAGAAGAAGGCAATGTAGTAAACTGGGTTATGCTCATGATGGAGTCAGTTAGATCTAAGTTTGAATCCTAGGTCTGCCGTTT